CCCCCCCCAACTCTCCTCCTACGCACCGTTTGGACTGCTGGTGAATAAAGTCACTCCATGCTTTTTAACCAGTGACTACAGCTTTTGTACTTGCTGTATCTCAGCCATAACATATCAGACTCATAAGGGATAATGGAGGCAAATAACGAATTTGCTATCAGCCTTTTGGCACTGACTGAACACAGTTGCTGACTCTGTGCAAATGATTAATGTTGCCTTTTCATGTGGCTACCCATGTTGAGTCCTGAGGTTTTCAATAGCCACGGCTCTTGGTGATGGGTGTTGTCTGGGGGTTACCAGGGCTATGGGGCATGTAGGGACAAAATTATCATTACCACCCTCCTTCTTCCAGATACGAGGAGCAGCCAAAAGAAACAGCAACAGACCCAAAGAATGAGAAAGAAAAGAAAGAGGACTGATTTGCCATGCTTTGACAATTGCCTGGAAAGGGGGAGGGCCAAAAGTCTGTGGGAATGGAGCGCTGCCCCTTGTGTTACCCCCATTAACGCTCCCCCCCCCCTTCCAATCCCCACCTTTCCCTTGCGCTCTCTGTGTATGTGTGCGCATAAACAGCTTTTGCCCCTCTCCATCGCCCGTCATGGGTGTGCATTTGTGCCTGTCTTGTGTTGCTGGGCCGATATTTTTATATTTTGTATGGTGGATTTGCTTTCTATAGTATTAAATCATCCGTGAAGATGCCTCTCTGTACTGTTATGTATGTAGGAATGTTTAAAGTCCCGGATTGGGTGTACCAAGATGGCAACTGTGAAGTCAATCCTCTACTGTGCGGCAAGACTCAAGGATGTGCTTCTAGCTTCTGACAGTCGGGTCCTTCAAACCATCAAGTTAATGAGCACTTTGGATTATCAGAAGTGCTTGCTTTTGTACACTACTTCCTACGTCTTTTGGGGGCTCTTGCAATGAGATTTCTGGAATTGAGATCACAGCTCCGCCCCCAGGCCATGGCTTTTGTCATTGGGACTTGGCTGGAGCTTGAGTCCCATTTTTATTATTACTTTTACAGAGGATGCAGCAGGATTGGCTAGACTCCATTCTGATGGCCTCAGAGTCAGGGTACTCGGTGGAGAAATATTGCTACTGTAGTCTCTCAGAGATAAAAGAAACCCAAAGGGGCTATTCAAGCCTTCGGTGCCCTTCAAAATCTAAAATATCTGCTTTTTTTTTTTTATTTGCAACAAATTGCGCTTCATTGGTGTGTTGC